GGGCCTTAGGGGAGTTCTCTCATGGAAAAGGGGCCCCAGGGTAGTTCTCTCATGGAAAAGGGTTTTTCAGGGTAGTTTCTTTATTTGAAAGGGGGGCCTCAGGGTAGTTCTCTCATGGAAAGGGGGTCTCGGGTAGTTCTCTATGGAAAAATTTTTCCGGGGAGTTCTCTCTTTGAAAGGTGCCCCAGGGTAGTTCCCCCATGGAAAAGGGGTCTCAGGGTAGTTCTTCATGGGAAAAGGTTTTTTCCCCGGGGTAGTTCTCTAAAGGAAAGGTTTTCCCCAGGGTAGTTCTTAAAGGAAATGTGTCTCAGGGTAGTTTTCTCATGGAAAGGTGTCTAAAGGGTTTTTTCTTTCATGGAAAGGTGCCCCCAGGGTAGGTTTTTCATGGAAAGGTGTCTCAGGGTAGTTCTCTCATGGAAAGGTTTTCCAGGGGTTAATTTTTCTCATGGGAAATGTGTTTTTGGGTAGTTTCTCATGGAAAAAGGTTTTTCAGGGTTTTGTTCTCTTTATGGGGAAAGGGGCCCCAGGGGTGTTTTTCTCATGGAAAGGGGCCTCAGAGGGAAATTTTTGTTGTTCCCGGGAAACCCTTTACTACTAATAGTTGACGGGTTAAAAAACTGAAGTTTAAAAAAATAAAAATTTTTCTGAAGATTAAAAGAAAAGACTTGTAAATCACCGGGGAAAAAAAAAAAGCGTAACTAAAAGTGTCTGGGTGAAGTATTTTAAATCCCAAACTCGTGAAAAATTAAAGTCTTTAAATAACTCTAGTTTTCAATATATCTTATTCGATTTTGCAGTTCTAGTCTGAAAACAATCTCTATAATCCCCAAAGAAAAAAAAATTGGATTTTGTGTTTTTTTAAAAAATTCAAATTTGGGGAAAAATTTTCTTACAGTTTGGGAAAATACAAAGTATAAATTTTAAATAAAAAAATTCGCGTTTGAAGCCGACAAAAAAAGGCATTCTTTAGTTTTTAGTGGGGAAAACCCAAATTTTAAAAAAATTGGTAATTAAAAAATTTAAAAAGGCCTTTTTAACATGAAAGCCAAGCTTTCCCTTTTTATAAAATTTCCTTTTAAACTGAAAGTTTGAAATCATAAGAAAGGGATTCCCCAAAAAATTGTTTTTGAATTTCCAAACCCTTAAATTTTTTAACGATTTTTTATCAAAAATTTCCCAAATTTTCAATAAAACCCGTCTAAAAAAATTTCTGTTGTCAAACCTTGTTATAGAATATATCATATTAATATTTTGAAGCCCGGGAGAGGGCTTTCTTTATTTTTTTGAATGGGAAAAACCCAAAATTTCTATTAATAAAAAATTTATAAAAATTTGGATTTGTGAGGGGCCCTTAAAAGAGAAAAAGTTGCTTTTTGAGAAACACATCAGGGATGAAATTTTGAAGCCCATCGGGAAAAGGCCAAATTCCCCCGTTATTGTGGAATTCCAAAGGGCCCCAAGTTTTTTATAAACAAAAATTTAAATGTACTGAAAAATTTGTTTCCCCATCAAACTGGCCCCCCTTTAAAGTCGCTAATCTGGCCCCCCTTAAAAAGGGTTTTTTTCCCCTTAAAAAATGAAGAATTTAGAAAGAAGTTTTGAAAAATTTTTATTCTTTTTTATTTTGCACAATAAAAAAGGGGATGAGCACCTACACCAGTGGTATTCATTGCGGGCCCCGGGGGGCGATGGGCTCAATTTACGGGGTCTCGAAAAATATATAAAATTTAATTTAAAAGTAGGTTGGTAGACAGCAACCCCCCCAGGGAAATACTCCGTCCCGCCCGATTTACGTTTAAACAAAAACCGTAACTGTTTTGATGATTTGGGAGGGGGTGGTTTCTTTTTCTGTCCCCATAAAAAAAAACGCTAGATAAAGGGGGGTTTCTTGGGTACTCCTACTTACACTTTGGTCACACTTCACAGACACGCACATGCATATTTTATACATACATCTAGGTTTTTTTCCCTTTTTTTAAAAAAGCTCTTGTTTTTGTTTTTTAAAATTTTTTCTATTGTCCCTGGGGGAATTTGGGAAAAAATCTTTCCCCCGTAAGCCATGCGTGTGTATGAGGCCCACCCAAATGCCCGGGGCAATGGGTGTAACCCTTCTCCTGTAGACATTTACTAAAAAAGAGAAGAAGAAAAACTTTTTTAAAAAATGTAGTTTTAGAGTGCCCAGCAGAAGTTTGTGTTTACGGAAAGTGGTGCAGGAGGGAAGGGGGCGATTGGTGGTTGAGTGTAAAGAGAGTATTAAGGGAAAAAAAAGTAGCATATGAAAGTTTTTACAAGTAGAAGTGTGCAAGGAGGGAAGAGAAAGGAAAAAAGAGAGGGTTAAGAGAGTGGTGAAGCAATGAAAAGGAGCAAATGAGAATGGGGAGATGTTATCAAAAAATTTTGTTGAAAAAAAAAAAAGTTTTGGAGGTATTAACAATTAAAAAAAACCTGGGAAAAAAATGGTTTTGTCAGTTAAAAAAGGAGAGGAGAGTTATTAAATGGAGATTGAGGTATTGGGAAGATGGGGGGAATATTTTGAGGAATTTTTTAAAAATGTTGATGAAGATAGGGAAGCTGTGATTTCGTGTATAGGGCAAGGGGGAAATAACATCTTGTAGGAGTGAGGAAGAGCCAGTGGGGAGTGGGGGGAAGTTCGTGAGGCAGTAGGTTTAAAAATGAAAGGGGGTAAGACACCCGGGGATTGATGGGATAAAGATAGAAATGTTAAAAAGCAGGGGGGGATATAGTTTTGGAGTGGTTGGTGCAATTATTTAATAAATGTATGGAAGAGGGTAAGGTACCTAGGGATTGGCAGAGAGCATGCATAGTTCCTTTTGTATAAAGGCAAAGGGGATAAAGAGAGTGCAAAAATTATAGGGGGATAAGTCGTTAGAGTATACCTGGTAAAGTGTATGGTAGAGTTATAATTGAAAGAATTAAGAGTAAGACGGAGAATGGGTTAGCAGATGAACAAGGAGGCTTTAGGAAAGGTAGGGGGTGTGTGGACCGGTGTTTACAGTGAAACATATAAGTGAACAGTATTTAGATAAGGCTAAAGAGGTCTTTGTAGCATTTATGGATTTGGAAAAGGCGTATGACAGGGTGGATAGGGGGGCAATGTGGCAGATGTTGCAAGTGTATGGTGTAGGAGGTAGGTTACTGAAAGCAGTGAAGAGTTTTTTACGAGGATAGTGAGGCTCAAGTTAGAGTATGTAGGAAAGAGGGAAATTTTTTCCCAGTAAAAGTAGGCTTAGACAAGGATGTGTGATGTCACCGTGGTTGTTTAATATATTTATAGATGGGGTTGTAAGAGAAGTAAATGCGAGGGTCTTGGCAAGAGGCGTGGAGTTAAAAGATAAAGAATCACACACAAAGGGGGAGTTGTCACAGCTGCTCTTTGCTGATGACACTGTGCTCTTGGGAGATTCTGAAGAGAAGTTGCAGAGATTGGGGGAAATGAATTTGGTAGGGTGTGCAAAAGAAGAAAATTAAAGGTGAATACAGGAAAGAGTAAGGTTATGAGGATAACAAAAGATTAGGTGATGAAAGATTGGATATCAGATTGGAGGGAGAGAGTATGGAGGAGGTGAACGTATTAAAGATATTTGGGAGTGGACGTGTCAGCGGATGGGTCTATGAAAGATGAGGTGAATCATAGAATTGATGAGGGAAAAAGAGTGAGTGGTGCATTTTAGGAGTCTGTGGAGACAAAGAACTTTGTCCTTGGAGGCAAAGAGGGGAATGTTATGAGAGTATAGTTTTACCAACGCTCTTATATGGGTGTGAACGTGGGTGATGAATGTTGCAGCGAGGAGAAGGCTGGAGGCAGTGGAGATATCATGTCTGAGGGCAATGTGTGGTGTGAATATAATGGCAGAGAATTCGTAGTTTTGGAAGTTAGGAGGAGGTGCGGATTACCAAAACTGTTGTCAGAGGGCTGAGGAAGGGTTGTTGAGTGGTTCGGACATGTAGAGAGAATGGAGCGAAACAGAATGACTTCAAGAGTGTATCAGTCTGTAGTGGAAGGAAGGCGGGGTAGGGGTCGGCCTAGGAAGGTTGGAGGGAGGGGGTAAAGGAGGTTTTGTGTGCGAGGGGCTTGGACTTCCAGGAGGCATGCATGAGCGTGTTTGATAGGAGTGAATGGAGACAAATGGTTTTAATACTTGACGTGCTGTTGGAGTGTGAGCAAAGTAACATTTATGAAGGGATTCAGGGAAACCGGCAGGCCGGACTTGAGTCCTGGAGATGGGAAGTACAGTGCCTGCACCTCTGAAGGAGGGGTTGTTATGTTGCAGTTTAAAAACTGTATTTGTAAAGCACCCTTCTGGCAAGACAGTGATGGAGTGAATGATGGTGAAAGTTTTTCTTTTTCGGGCCACCCTGCCTTGGTGGGAATCGGCCAGTGTGATAATAAAATAATAAAATAATTAATAAAAAATATGTATATATATATATATATATATATATATATTTTATATATATATATATATATATATATATATATATATATATAATATATATAAATATTTTCAAGTAAGATACATATTTCATGAGGTGAGATGGAAGACGAAGTCACAGTAAGAGATAACATTCTAACATCCCTACCCTAGTCGTACAGAAATCATACGTGTCCAGTACAGGAAACTGATCAGGGACACATCTAGCTCTAGGCGTCGAGACCTGGTCTCGCTGAATCAGTTGAGTTCAAGCTTTCGGGGGAGACTGGACGTATTTCGTTACTCTTGGAGATTTGTGTTTGAAAATAGGCAACAGATATTTGAGACTGCGGCAACATATATGAAAGTAACGACTTAACTGTTGCTGCTTGTGGAAGCTAGCTGTGATGGGCTAGTTTTACTTGAAACCAAAGTGCAGTCAAGTAGTGTCCGTTATGATGGATCGATTTGTGGTTAAACAAAAACACAATAGTGATGAACAGCCATCCCAGACCCGACCAGTAGAAAAGGAGCATTAAGTAAGTTTGGTTTTTATTTTGCTATTAATAACAAGATATGCAGGCTAATATTACCATGTCTAATTTTTCTCATTTACTATATTGCACTAGCAGCTCAGTACTACTTAATTTAGTTGAGTTACGCTAACTTGCAGTAGCTGCGGCTCTCTCAATCAATGTGTTTAACCGAAGTGGCTCTCTTGCAAAAATTAGTGAATAACACTGACCTACACGCTTGAATTTCACTTTGTAGTCGTCGACACAAGTTACGCTGCAGAGGGTTTTGGAGGTTATTAGTCATTTCAATATCCTGGAATGAGTCCTACAACTTTGATCATGGGGCACCTGCACCATGACAGTTGTTCCTAGAATTTTGGCTTAGTTACTGTGCACCGGCAATGCAAATTTTAAGTTGTCTTGATGAACCATTGTGTTATAAACAAATTACTGAAGAGCTTGAAGGAAAAAGTAAAAGAAATCAGGCAACCACTTAAAGGTCCGCCTACCGGGGTACCTATTTATTCTAATAAACACTGAACAAATCACATAAAGAGTTATCTCTCAAAATCTTAAGACGCACACAAGCATCAAAGTGAACAATTCGCTACCACACTCCAGGTCTACACTGAGCATTTGTGTGCACATCCCAAAATAGTGTGTAGCTACCAAGTGAGATAAAAAAGTCCACTCAGTCCGAGCCCACAAAGGTGAGCAAACAGTAACTCATCTCGCTATTTACAGTAGTACGTAGAAGCAAGCCTCTTTTTACGGCTGAGTCCAGATCAGACAAACAAGTCAGTCAGTCCCAAGATGCACATTGTACTCCACTTAAGCACAGTCTGTTCACACACCACAAATGCATACAAAAAATCCTCAAACCGCTCCACAGCAAAGCTCCCAAAGCAGAAAATAATGAGCTCACAAACGACCGAGTGCCGACACCTGTCTTTGACTATGTTCAAACAGGAAATGGTACATAATATGTGTTGTTTAAATTTATGCAGTGTTTTATGGATACTCTTGAGCGAAATTGAGAATTGACTCTTGCTCTCAGAGGGTGTTCCACAATGAGGTTAAAGCCTATGAACATAACTAGCAGGCAAGACTGTACTCAAAATTTCTGTGTCCAGAAAATAATTAAGATGGTGATTGTGTGTTAGATTATGTTAGAGATAGAGCAACTGCCATGTCTTTCCCCATGGGCAGCATATCACCATCTGACATCTCTGGGCGAGTACGGAGGGTAGACGGCTTCACCTGGCAGGTCGCAACTCATAGCCACACCCCTTGCTTATGATAAAAGTTCAAGAGGGTGACAGGAAACCTTCCCTGGCATCCAACATTAGCCTTCTCATGCATTATAAAAAATAGTAAATAATGAGGGAAAAATGTGTTGTTATTACATAGAGCCTAAACATATCAGCTACAAAGTTATTCCTTGATATAATAACAATTCTGATAGTGAACAATAATAATTAAACACTTAACAAGCAAACACCAAGCAATGTACAGATTTATGTTACAAATGGACTGCGTGACGGCCTGATTAATCGGGCCGTCAAGTTGGAGGCCTGGTTTGGGACTGGGCTATGTAGGCAATGGCCTCTGGAACTAACCGTCTAACTGCAGACAATGAGTCTTCTTTCGTGAGGTCCGCCTTTTTCTTTTTTCTTACTCATATGAGGTCCTTCAGTAAAGAGTTCCGATTGCGCTTAGGTGTACTTTGCTCATTAGTTCACTAAACTCACCTGAGGTCTCATAACCAGACCTCCATTACAGTCACGAGGTCACTCACTGTACTCGTCATTCCAGTCATCAGGTCCCTCACTTCAGTAACTAAGTTCTCTTTCCTTTCTCCTTCATGATGGACCTCACGCTGCACTAGGTCCCCCACACCCCGTATGGATGGCCAACACCCCGCATGGAGGGCTCACACCTGACAGTGAAGCTTCACAACTCGACCTCCTCATAAATGCAAGTGTTACTGTCTACATCGCGGTCATCTGCCACCACCATATGGTGGCTGCACACTGGTGAGTCACGACTGTGGCTGCCGTAGTTTTGGTGACTCACAGCATATGGGCGTGTGGCCATGGGAGAATAGGTTAGTGTGGACGTGGGGGAACACGGACGGGCAGAGGCAGGAGAACAGGATAGTGTAGGCGTTTGTCATGATGCGGCTGGAGAAGCTCTTTCATGGATTAATGTGGTGAGAGTCATTGTCTCTGTGCCTCGCATGGTAAATGACCGGCAATGGGACATACCAGAGCGTTCCGGCTGCAGGAAGGACCGAGTTCGATGTTCACGGTCAAACCAGCGACAGCAACAGAAGAGATAACGATTGTAGTACTTCCTGAAAGTGCCAGAGATGCAGTATAGAGCGATAGGGTTGATGCACGAGTTAATAAATCCGAGGCAAAAGCCGACGATCCGGAGGGCATGCCAGAACTCGTTATATTTGATTGAGGCCTCAGGGTCTAAGTAGAACCACAACAGAAAGACGTGTGTTGGCAGAAAGCACACGGCGAAGATAAGCACAAAGCATAGACGATCTTGGCTACTTTTCTTCTCGTTCTCAGTTGGCGATGGAAGACGTGAGATTCCCCTGGCAAGTCCTCAGAAGAGAGCAAGTGCCTGGCCATCAGCAAGTAGAAGGAGGCGATGACGACGAGTGGCACGAGGTAATACAGGAGAGCCTTGACAATGACATTAACCAGAGAATACCAGCTGGGGAAGTGCTCCGGAAACGGGTAGCAAACACTGATGATTTTATCATCAGTCACATGAAACACCTGAACTTGTGAGAAGAGCGCTGCCGGGGTGGCCAAAACTCCCGCCGCCACCCATATTCCCACAGCAGTCCTTACCGTCCTGCGGCCGGCTCTGCCTGCAGCCTGCGGAAGAACCAAGCACGATTCCTTAAGTGATTCACTCGACTAGACTAATTCTGATACTGTTTAGAAAATCCATAGGCAATAAATTTTGCATACATGTGCTATAAATAACTTAAATTCTTATAAATGAATCCTGGTTTTACGCTGTCTCAGGTGCAGTGGTAAGATAACAGCAACAGCTGGAATCATGGTGGCTCTCAGAACTCTTCTCACCAAAACAAAGCTGGAGATAGCCAAAATTCTTGCAACAATAATTATAACGGAACTTCTAAATAAGCTACTGATTATCATTTCATAATCATTGTGCTACTTTTTAAAATACTGTTGAAAACTTATAAAATGTCTTAATTATACAAAACTACGATTATAGTCAGTACACAGTCTCTACTCTCTTGTTATTCCCCTAATTGTTCTACAACCTTTGCATAAGACCTAGTAAAGAATGGGTGTGAGGAGACCTTTGGTAATAATTCAGATGGTTGCACACATCCTTTTTAAAAACATAACCCCAGTAAACAATGTCAGTCTTACCTGTTATCGGATCCGCAAGACAGTCTTAATATAATCTGGGTGTGGAATGAAATACTGCTAACAGTCAACTGACGCATAATTACCCTTCTGACGGTGGAGACAATAGCGAGGTAGCGGTCAGCAGACAGCGCTGTCAGGGTAAACACGGTCACACCCACCGAGATGTCTCTCACCATCTCGCTGAATTTACACTCAAAGTTCCCATAGGGCCATGACTCTATAGTGTAGATAGTGGAGACGAAGGGAACGGTGAAGAAAAGGACGAGGAGGTCCCCCAGCGCCAGGGAGATAATGTAGGTGTTAGGTACGTTGCGCAGGTTCTTGTTCCTGGCGAAAATGACGATCAGCGTCCCATTACCTGAGGAAGGAGACAGGTGAGTACACAATTTAGGGTTATAACTTTTTTTACAAGTGATATTCCTGTACCTTAATATTCGTGTAGTACACATGTTCAACAGATATTAGCAATGGTTTATTGCTTGTATGACGTTATGCGATTTGGAGATCTTGGTCGTACTGTTGTGTGGAAAATTTTGTTGGTGACCAAAGATGTATTGAATAAAGGGAATTATAGCATCTTTAATTAGCATGATATTGCGAAAGCGCTAAATCAGTAAGGGCCACATACCACCTGTTTGTGAACTGCAATGTTACAAAAATGTTTGGTTATGGTATAATGGAAATTAGTGTTAAAAAGCTGTCTAGTTATCTTTTCCAGCTATGTTGATGTAGTTTGTTGTTATTCTCTTCTACTTCCTCACTTAATTTCCTTATACCATTTCCTAATTTTTGCCCTCGTACCCGCTTGTCCTTCCACCTCCCATCATTCCACTCCCCCCATCCTTGCACCTCCCATGCTTCTACCTCCCATGCTTTCACTTCCCTTCCTTCCGCTTCCCATGCTTCCACCTCCCATGCTCCCACCTCCCATGCTTCCACCTCCCATGCTTCCACCTCCCATGCTTCCACCTCCCATGCTTCCACCTCCCATGCTTCCACCTTTCCTGGTCGTTGCTGGTCGTGGTGGTAAGGTTTTAGTGTTGATTTCTTGGAAGTATCCCAAAAAGCAGCACACCTTTTTTCTAGGATAACACAGCTCGGATATATTTTGGCTAGGTGTTATATGACCCTTTAGGATGTAGTGCTTTCCCTAGAATATAATAATAATAATCAATAATGGCTTTAGGAAGAATAGTAAGGGGATTGATGTCTCATCCCTCCCACTATGCCAGTGTTTTTTTAACCGGGGGGGGGGCTCTCGCTCCCTAGGGGACATGTGTAATTTCCAAGAGAGGGGCTTAAAATAAGGTAGATTTGCTGTTGCGGTTGTTGCTATAGTAACTGTTACTGCTTCCTTGGTTGCTGCTGTTGCTGCTGTTTCTTTGGGTGCTGCTGCTGCCGTTTCTTTGGATACTGCTGCTGCTGTTTCTTTGGGTGCTGCTGCTGCTGTTTCTTTGGATACTGCTGCTGCTGTTTCTTTGGATACTGCTGCTGCTGTTTCTTTGGATACTGCTGCTGCTGTTTCTTTGGATACTGCTGCTGCTGTTTCTTTGGATACTGCTGCTGCTGTTTCTTTGGATACTGCTGCTGCTGTTTCTTTGGATACTGCTGCTGCTGTTTCTTTGAATACTGCTGCTGCTGTTTCTTTGGATACTGCTGCTGCTGTTTCTTTGGATACTGCTGCTGCTGTTTCTTTGATATGCTGCTGCTGTTTTCTTTGGATACTGCTGCTGCTGTTTCTTTTGGATACTGCTGCTGCTGTTTTCTTATGGTACTGCTGCTGCTGTTTCTTTGGATACTGCTGCTGCTGTTTCTTTGGTACTGCTGCTTTGCTGTTCTTTGGATATGCTGCTGCTGTTTCTTTGATACTGCTGCTGCTTTTTTCTTTGGGTTTTTGCTGCTACTTCTTTAGTGTTGTCTGGTTGCTGCTACCTGTTTTTCTTTTGTTGCTTCTGTGCTTGCTGCTACTGCTTGTTTGGTTGCTGCTACTGCTTGTTTGGTTGCTGCTACTGCTTGTTTGGTTGCTGCTACTGCTTGTTTGGTTGCTGCTGCTGCTTGTTTGGTTGCTGCTACTGCTTGTTTGGTTGCTGCTACTGCTTGTTTGGTTGCTGCTACTGCTTGTTTGGTTGCTGCTGCTGCTTGTTTGGTTGCTGCTACTGCTTGTTTGGTTGCTGCTACTTGTTTTCTTGTTTGGTTGCTGCTGCTGCTTGTTTGGTTCCTGCTGCTGCTTGTTTGGTTGCTGCTGCTGCTTGTTTGGTTGCTGCTACTGCTTGTTTGGTTGCTGCTACTGCTTGTTTGGTTGCTGCTGCTGCTTGTTTGGTTCCTGCTGCTGCTTGTTTGGTTGCTGCTGCTGCTTGTTTGGTTGTGCTGCTGCTTCTTTGGTTGCTGCTGCTGCTTCTATGGTTACTGCTGCTGGTTCTATGGTTGCTGCTGCTGGTTCTTTGGTTGTTACTGCTGCTTGTTTGGTTGCTGCTGCTGCTGTGTCATTGTATTTTGCATGGAAGGCCGCATAGTGTCTTGCTTCACTGTAGCTCACACTGTGCATCATTACTGCTGATACTCCTTTGTACAGGTCACTCATCGGCATATTCATAGCTAAAGCACATGTTCGTCTATTCTGTTGTAGTAGGAATAGTAACGAGAGTAAGACACATGTGCAACATCTGGGTATCTTTATTGTAGACGTTTCGCCATCCAGTGGCTTTATCAATACAAATTCCAGGACATAACTTGAAGACAGTAGAACTATGTACAGAAGATGAGGTAATCAGTCCCTCAACCTAGGAGTAGGTGCGAACAGCACCTACGACTATGACTATGACTATGGTGCTGTTCGCACCTACTCCTAGGTTGAGGGACTGATTACCTCATCTTCTATACATAGTTCTACTGTCTTCAAGTTATGTCCTGGAATTTGTATTGATAAAGCCACTGGATGGCGAAACGTCTACAATAAAGATACCCAGATGTTGCACATGTGTCTTACTCTCATCTTGTCGGTATTATATACCATTCGTACACAGGAATAGTAACAGTGGTAGTAGTTGTTGGTACAGCAGCGGTAGTGAAAGAATTGTAGTAGTAGTAATGTAGCCACAAAAAAATAAGGTAAAGCCTCTTGATCGTTTAATATAAAACGAAGTCCGCTGGTGAATAAAGTCAAGTAAGAAGACTGGTATAAAGTATCAACTGGTTCACTGAGCTAGGATGCTCGGGATGATGCAATTTGTCAAGACGTTTTGTGGCTGGCAGGTTTATGAAAGGCCAGAAGACTGAGGAAGAAGTACGAGGAGTAAAATGATAAGGAAAAGCTTCCAAGGTTCTCTTATATAAGTAAGCACTGATACTCATGGTTGTGCACACGTGTAGGTGGTAGATGTTTGAACACCATAGAACTGTATACCTCTGCTGGTGGTGATTCCACAAACTAAGGATACAGGAAACACTGGTTTGGTAATAGAGTTGTGGATTAGTAGAACAAACTCCCGAGTGCCGTCATAGAAGCTAAGACATTATGTAGTTTTAAAAATAGGTTGTATAAATACATGAGTGGGTGTGGGTGAGTGTGAGTTGGACCTGACTAGCTTATGCTACTAGGTCGGATGCCGTGCTCCTCCCCTTAAGTGAATGTGACTGACCTGACTAGGTCAAGGCATTGGCTTAAGCCGGTGGGAGAATTGGACCTGCCTCGCATTAGCCAGTAGGCCTGTTGCAGTGTTCCTTCTTTCTTATGTCCTTATGTTTTAAGAAACGTATACCTGTGTAGGTGGTGGATTGATGAACTTCACAGATCCCATCCTTCTTCTAAAATACGGTAGCATTAAAGCAATTTGCAGCTAATCAAATAAGCTTTCTCATACTGCTCTATTTTCATTGAAATCAGCAAATAGGCTCCTATACATCCCTAGAGCAATCCCAACCTTTCTCTAAGACACAACAACACAGACAATTTGAAGCTCATCAGACGAGACGTTCAACTACTGTACATCCTGTCACGATATACGAAAATGTTTATGGAAATATTCCCACGGTGTTAACAAAGTGTAGAAGCTTTCATGTAGAATGCAACATTTGCTGTAGTTTGATAATGTTATGTATTTACCAAATGGGATACTTGTAGTTTATATATGAGTTGTATTTTACCTCCTTCAAGTTCCTCTGCCATAACTTTAGAATTTCTCTTCTGACCAACTTCTAGTTTTCAGTGCTGGTTGATCTTGTCAGAGGAAGGTTCGAATTTGTTACTAGTATGTGCAGTGCCAAGCAATAACTTCAACACTGGTGATTCTTGCAGTGAACAACGTCAACGTTCACTTCATTATTGGATGCTAATTTTCAAATTATAATCCGCAATAACTTGCGAATGTCTTCTCTAAGTGACTTCAATTTTGTAACATTGATGCAATTTACGTTTATTACAGCTTCAGGCTTTGTATATAGAAACTTTTAATTTCATAATAATAAAATTGTGGGTATTGTTGGGCTTTTCTTGATAACGGAAATTATCATTCAGCTTCAGCTTGATATAATGTGTTTTAAAGGAAGATGAGTAGTTGTAGTGATGCAAAAATACGTTTGTAAATTTTGATAAACAAATTGTGACTTTAGTTTCTGTGGTATAACTGTAGAATGACTCTTAACATTTGGTGTCAAACATTCAGTGTTGTCGAATCATATTTAGTCTAAAATTCAGATTCAATTTGATTAGGAAATTTTGAAGTGTAATTAATGAATGAATTATCATTAAGAAGAAATAAATATAAAATGTAAAGTGCTATATATCACGATCCTCATCCGAGGTCCTCTTCAGCAGATAGAAAAATAAGTAGAGAAAATAGTACTGATATGGGTACATAAAGGTGTGGTAGCCGAGGTGGTGCCTGAGCAGAACGAAAGAAATGTCACACACACTGCTAGTGGGCGAGGCTCATCATCAGAGATGAGAGAAAGAGATGCTTTTGGAAACTAGTATATTGGTCACTGCGCGATCCGAGAAAGATATCATTATATCCTGTAATCCCTGCCTCCTCTTCCTGCCTCAATGCATGCGAAAGGAATAGGAGAGTTTGGTCATAAAATTCCAATGCAGTAAAATATATAAAAATATGTATACGTGTATGTTCTTTTGCGTAACTATTTCTGTATGAATATGCATTTTTTGAGAGGGTATGTAAAAGAAGGAAATTAAAAGTGAACATAGAAAAGATGAAGGTGATGAGGGGTAACAAAAAATTTACGTAATGAAAAATTGAATATCAGATGTGAGAGTGTGGAGGAAGTGGATGTGCTCAGATATTTGGGAGTGGACTTGTCAGATGTGTTTATGAAAGACGAGGTAAACATAGAACTGACGAGGGA